TTGAGGAAGATTAGCCCTGAGCTAACATCTGCCACCAATCCTCCTCTTTTTTGCTGAGGAAGACTGGCCCTGACCTAACATCTGTGCCCATCTTCCTCTACTTTATATGTGGGATGCCTACCACAGCATGGCTTGACAAGTGGTGTGTAGGCCCTCACCCGGCATCCAAACCGGTGAACCCTGGGCCACCAAAGCAGAATGTGCAAACCTAACTGCTGCTACCATTTTTAAAAACAATTTCACAGTAAATTTATGATGATCATGATGATGATGAAAATGATCATGACAACTAACTTTTATAGCATTTTCTGTATGTCCTGCACTATTCTAAGCATTTTACATGTTTTAATTAATCATCCCAATAGCCTATAAAGTAGGAACTTTAATTATCCTTATTTCTCAGATGAGAAATCGAGGCACAGAAAAGGTAACTTACTCAAGATCACAAATAAGCTAGTAAGTGGTGGAGACATGACTCAAACCCACTAGGCCTACTTTAGGGGATTTTTTTCCTCATTAAGTCTTCTGAAAATTTGGTGGGGGGCAAATTTACCCACAAGAGATACTCTTGGTACCATTGTATCACCTCCTTTTTTGACACATTGACATTTTTGTTCACCCTGTTCTCGCTGCTTGAATATACTTTCTCACCTTCTCTATCTTGGAGCATGTGTCATTTCCCCCAATCACACAGGTGCCATTTCCTGACCCTCTTCAATCTTCCTCTTCCCATCTCTCATTCCGTTCTGCCACCTTCCAGATTGGCTGTCCTTCTGTGTATTCCATAGCATCCACTTAACCAAAATTTTTCTCAAATGTTCTGGCTTCATGTCTTTCCCTGCCCCTTGTCTTACTGCTGATTGACACCAGGGACTGTGTCTGGTGTTTTTGTATCCCTGTTGCCTAGTCTAGTGCCACATATTAGGCTTTTTCCTTTCCTTGTTAACATTTTCTTATTTTGGAAAGTCTTTTCAAATTAACATAACTTCATCACTGTGATCATTATAAATATAGCGAATAACAATTAAACATGACTGAGTTATTAAAGTCCATGTAGGATCAAGTTTCAACCATTCAACTGTTCTTTTTAACACTATTATTTGGCATTGTTGTTCAGTGGGGCTTTGTTTATTTGTTTTGTTTTTGTTACTATGCTCTCTCTTTGGCAAAAAAAAAACAAAAAAATCCATATCTAAAAGATAGGACTCCACCTAATTTTCTCTTGCTTTGTAAACTTCCCCTTCCAAGGTCAATTCATAAGATTGACCATGAATCAAACTTCTAGAATTTTTCAATTTTTGGATTTTTGGTTTGATTTTTGTTTTTCCTTGTTCTGATCCTAGCCGAGCTCCTTCTTTGAGATTACAAAGCAATTTGATTTTTCCTTTAAAAGAGTACAGTGCTTGAGTTTTTGTTTGTTTTTAGAGTTACTATAGAAGAAATGGTTTCCTGGAGTTATTACTCAGAGAGTTTTTCCCACAAGAGACACAAGTGTTTCTGCTAAATTTTTATCCTCATAATCTGTATTTTAAATAATGACTTATTATCAGTGTGTCTTAGGCCTTGATAGGTCAGCTATAGGGCTGAAGGTCAGGGGTCATCTTTTTTGGTGTCAGTTTATTCTGGCTGTCTCAAAGACACGTCTTATTTGGGCTGGTTTCAGATGGCTCTGAACTTCCCTTAGTATCAAGACTATTCCAGAAACTCACTAAAGCCTTTTAAACTGCCAGCCTTACTTCTAGTTGAAAACATACTTTAAGCATTATTGCATTTTAAAGACAGATGAAGAATGATGCGAAAATTACAAACTTTAGAATTTTCAGTACTTTTGGGTTATCATAGAACAAAGTGTCATAGCGAAAGTAAAACTGAGTGTGGTCACTTTTAGAAAAAGAAAACAATTGATAACTAGGAAGTTGACTTGATTTGTGGGAGCCAATGTTATTTTGTGAAAAAAACCTATTAATATCCAGTTTTGTGGGCCTCCATCCGCTTTCTAAGGAATTAGAAATTCCAACACATTTATTTGGTATTAGCCATATAAATCATTGGTGGCTGCAGATTTTGGTAAGTTATATAGTCTTTATTTTTATGCAATTGAATGTTAATTAATTAATTGCTAATTAATGAATTTTTAGTAACGTACACATTATGTTACTATGGATAGAGTCATAACTGACCTGGAATAAGTCAATGATATTGACTTAACTGTTCAATAGCTCTATCTTGTTTTTTTCCATCAGTTTAACAACAGCAACTGATCAGTTGGGCCCAGTTAGTTAATGTCTCTTAAGATTTTTATGAAGTAGAGTCTCCTGTTTTATGTGTATCCCTCCTCATAGTAAGATCAAAACAGCAATGAATGCCTTCTCACGTCAACTTGGACAATGTAGTAATAGTACAGGCAGGATAGATTAGATGTAGATATGAACTATTTCTAAAAATGTCCAACAAAGATATTTCAAATTAACTTTGGATGCCAGTCTCAATCATAGCCTAGATAGCTTAGGAAGAGTTTATTATTTGCTCTATACTGATCAGTTTGTATTCTTTATTAGGAGTTTGTCGGAACTAATTAAGCTTGCGTTCACAGCTGACCCTAGCTGACTTTATCCATCAGGTACAGTAAGCACATTATGAAGGGCCCATGATACTTTTAGAGACCCATGAGGTGGTTTTTTTAAAGCCTTTATTTTTATTTATTTTATTATTATTATTATTTACTTTTCCTTCCTCTCCCCAAAACCCCCAGTACATAGTTGTATATTTTAGTTGTGGGTCCTTCTAGTTGTGGCCTGTGGGATGCCACCACAGCATGGCTTGATGAGCAGTGCTAGGTCCGTGCCCAAGATCTGAAACCCTGGGTTGCCAAGTGGAAGACGTGAACTTAACCACTTGGCCACAGGCTGGTCCCCCATGAGATGTCTTAATTTCTTTTAAAATCAGAAGAAAAAAATGAATATGATTCAGCCTGGACTCTATTTGTCTTTATACCAATACAGTAGTAAAATAGAATTTTTAATATTTTTTTTATGGAGGAAGGGGTCTACAAAGGTAGAAGTACCTAGGGCCCATGAAGCCAGAATGCACACCCACAGCAACATAAGACTATTTTCTTCCTGTTTTTATAGACACCACTGTTTTAAATTTTCTCCTTCAATTCAACAATCCATACGCTTTTCTCTTTGTTCTTTTGTCCTCTACAATCCTGAGCCATCTGTGTACACTGAAGGAATTACACATTTGAGCGTATACGTTGTGCATCAGTTCACCACATTGGGAAACATAAATTTTGATATCATTACCTCCAAGACCTTGCACTCATTAATATTAATACATCATAGTATAATATTAGGCTTATCCATATTTGACGATCTTTAGATTAATAATATTTTAAAGTAAAATAGGGTCAAACATAAACTACTCTCAGAGGTGCTAAAAATAAATTACCTTCCTAATTTTTTGGTAACCTTTCTCATCTTGCTTGAAAGCCCCATTCTCGTGGTGAAGAATGGGGTCCGATTACAAAGAGAGACTTCAGCTAGCCAGTTATAAAGATAACTCTCTCTATTTGGGCTCAATGGCATCTTTTGGATAAGTGTTCAGTCTCTCACAGCTTCTCCTTTCTTCTTATTCCCTAAAGCATTTGGATTAATGACTTCCATCTTCAGTGTGAGAGGGTGTTTCTGCCCCTCTCTTTGGTAGACTATGTTTTTTGCTTAGAGATGAGGGGGGGTAAGGAGACATGTGGCAGGACTGGGGTGGTTGGCAGTGATGTGGGCTAATACTCTTGCTACTTAGACTCCTCCATCAACCATTATGTAGCAGAAGTTGCCTCAGATATCTAAAGAATCTTTAAAGTTTAGAAACAAGCCATCTTTTTTCTCTCTACAAAATGTGACTTTCAAGATTCAAAAAAATTAGCTTTGGACCTTGAATTTGAAAAAAATATTTTAATTCTAGGCTGTATTCTCCTCCTGTCCTAGAGCAATAAGACAAATGTTTTGGCCTTAACAGCCAAAGAGGTTTAGTGAAAGAAAGCAGCTTCAGGAGAAGAGAAGACGCCCGAATAAGTACCCAAATGTAAACCGTGTTACCATAGCACAGTGGTGAGAGGATTCACTTTCCAGTTAGATAAAACTGGGTTGAAACCCAGTTCCCCCACTTACTAGTTCTATCATCTTAAGAATGTTATTTGACACCTCTGAGCCTTGATTTCCTTATCTGTAAAATAGGTAATTAAGTTTTTTAAAATGAGTATTAAATTAGCTAATATATGTAAAACATTGTGTGCATTACACATAACAAACACGTAAGTGGTAGTTATTTAAACAGACTTCAGAATTCTTCTGCAAAGGAAAAAAAAAATGAATGACATTGGATGGGAGGCTAGTACTGTTTAGGCTGTTATATACGGATATTTCAAGTTCCAAGGAAAGAAACATGTTCCTGATATTCCCTCTAGTAGAATTCCTTATAAAAATACAATGAGGAATTTAAAGGGAGTAAGGAAATCCAGGCATCAGAGGAGTGAGTGAGGTCTGGCTGTGTGGTAATCTGATGGTGAGTCTAGTCTCTGTGCTCTGAAAGAGCCTATCAAGCATAGAAACACACACTTAAAAATCAGTCCATCGTGGGGCTGGCCCCGTGGCCGAGTGGTTAAGTTCGTGCGCTCCGCTGCAGGCAGCCCAGTGTTGCGTTAGTTCGAATCCTGGGCGCGGACATGGCACTGCTCATCAGACCACGCTGAGGCAGCGTCCCACATGCCACAACTAGAAGAACCCACAACGAAGAATACACAGCTATGTACCGGGGGGGCTTTGGGGAGAAAAAGGAAAAAATAAAAAATCTTTAAAAAAAAAAAAATCAGTCCATCGTAGTTCCTCTGTATTGCTAATAAAATCAAGTACACTAACAGAGTAAGATTGAGCTGATTCATGTTATTTTAATGACTATGAGAGGTGGGAAGGTGATCTTGATTTTCCCCCTTCTGAACTCAGGTGGTGAGTGGAAGACCCGTTATGAGACACAACTTGAACTGAATGATCAGCTAGAAAAACAAATTGTTTCTCTCAAAGAGAAAATGGAGAAAATCCGCGGAAACCCTGCAGGTACAGAAGCAACTATGTATATGTTTTATAAGTTGAGTTAAAACTGATAAAATATCAACTGCTCATGTTTGTTTTATTGTAGATAGACTATCTTCTATTCGTGTGTATGAACGAATGCCAGTGGTGAGTAAAAGATGGTTAAACAAAAAGAATAATTGAAGGAAACTATGTACATTTTTTCCCCAGACAGATTCCAAACGAAAATTTAAAGACTGTGGCGAGGTCCAGATAAAATATTTGTTGAGTGGAGCTGTTCCTAGGCTGTGATGAATCCTGTAGCAAGGCCTTCAGCTTAATCTCCCCCTTGTAAAGCTGGGCAGGGATCCTGTCACAGATACAAAGTGGAAGAAAACGAATCCTAATAGTCGGCTGGGTGGAAATAGAGTGTGTCTATTCCTTGTCACCTAAAAGAGCCTGTTTAACACACAAATACATATCTTATACCTATCTAAAAACATTTCCATTCCAGTTCCTTTGGAATACATACACATGCATATACGTATATGCACACACATACATTCCTATACACACACAGTCATATAGCGTATATAAAATCCAGCAACAGAGAACCCATAAATTTACCTCATAATGTGAATCCTCATTGAGCTACTCCATGTACTTTTTCTTTGGTTGTCCTAGTGACATCTTTCCCCCTTTGAGAGTTCATTTTAATCCCTGAGAAATTACTTAAACTTATATATTTGATACTTTACAAAGCACATTCATTTGTTTTGCATTCATTCAAATATTTCTCTTTTAAAATGTAGAGAACACCCAAAGCATTACTTATACTGGGCCCAAAACATGCTTAGAAATAGCCTTTTCCTCAGAACTCTTGCTAAATTTTTATTTCAAGAATACTCACAAAAAACGTAGAAATGATGTAAAAAATCAAAGGTACTTTATATGAAAATGAAAATTCAATACTCAGTTAAGTTGGCAGGACTTAACATTACACTAATAATAATAATAACTTGTCCTTAATGAAATGTATATAGTATGCAAATTAATTTCATGTTCATTATCTCAGCTTCCAGCAACCCTGTGAGATAAAATTTAATATTATTCTCTTTAATACATGTGACAATAAACTTAAAGAGATTAAGTGATTTGCTCAGAATCTCACCATCTGGAAGAGTGCAGCCAGATTCTGTCCCTCTAAAACAACCTTTTCCCATTTGACTACACCATGCTGTGCCAACAGTCCTTCTATCCTGCTTATTAGAAAGGTTTTCTAATAGCTGCACATAGAGCACTAAGCTGACTGCTGTATCCACCAGAGTGTTTATGGAGATTGCTCTTTGAGTAACTGCAGATCTTTAGTGAAAGGTATAGAAAGATCTTGTATTTTTGTTAATAATGAGTCAGGGAGAGAAATAACCGTTTTTGCGCACCTCTCTTTTTCTATTTTCAACCCAGAAACACCTTTATTTCTATGTCTTGGAAAGTCAGGAAAATAACATTTGTTTTGTTTTGTTTTTTAATTGAAAAATTGTAGTGTGGGTTTTTTTCGCCTCTGCCATGGAGTCATATCCCCATCTTGTGGTATTTAGAAATTGCTGCAAGGGCCATTTTAAGCTTAGTGTTTCTTAACTGTAGGTAGAATTTTAATACTACCTGTAGAATATAAAATAGTACCTACAGAATATAAAATATTCTGGCTACCTTCTTCTTGATAACCCACCCCCAGTCCTAGCTGAAGAAACTGGGTGTCACTGGCCTCATGGAGGGTGGCAACAGTGCTGGTGTGGCATGGCAAAATACTTTATAGCAGATGTAAGAAGCATTTAGTTAGTTTTCTAGCTGTCACCTCAGGCTCTGTAACATATTCATGTTGGGCAAAAATACGTTTATTTCTTTTGATGAATTTGTGTTATTTTTAAGTAAAATGTGGTTCTCTAAGAGGTTTAGATCTGGAGGCAGAGAATTAAATTTCTCTTCAATAAAGGATTAAAGAAATGTTAGAAGAACTCAGAGTGAGGCCACATACCAAGAAGAAAGGAAAGATAATGAAAGTTCAGGCTCTTAAGGGCCTGGTCCTCTCTGGGCAGACACCCTGCATGAGCATTTGAGTTTTCTTGCACAGTGGAATCCAGGAGTGTTTTCCTGAACAGCAGGGGTGAGGATTCCAGAAAGGGACTTGGTGATGGAAGCTGCCAGTCAAGAAACCTCTCTCATCTGAGGACAAAAGAGATAGTCTCTCATGCTTTGTATAAAAACAATATTCATGAAATTCAGACATGTACGCTTTGTGTAATGCAAACACTTGCTTTTCTAGGGCTTAAATTAGTTGTTTTTGTGGGATAGAGTATAAATTCAAACACTATTTGTAAATTTACTGATTCCTTATCTTTGTTGTAGATTGTTTAGTCTTTGGGAGGAACCTGTAAAGACATACTTAAGCAATTGATGTCAGATAGTTTGAATACTAATTTTGAGTAACTTCAAATTGCAGGTTTGCTTGTGGGCAACAAAAAGGATGAACACTAGTTTTTAAACAATGTATGTGTTATTTTTTAAAATGTTGTCATTTGAAAAACAATATGAAATGTTAAGTTGTTTTCAATCTGGATCCCTAAAGTGGACTTGATTTTAATATTTTAGAAAAAAATATTCACTTAAGTGGGAATGAGGTTCTAGTCCTTGTTCTGATTCAGACCAGCTTCAAGCCTTTGACCTTTTTGAAGTTTCCTTTTCTCAACTGAAGGTGATATGGTTAGATAATCTTTAGAGTGCCTTTCAGTGGTATAATTTGTTAAAATTTAATTTTAGCAAGATGAAACCAACAGTTAACGGTCACCTTTGGCTGCATGTAAGAGGAAGGCTTACACAAGTACAGTATTGTTTTCTTTCCTGTGACAGAAAGTGTTAGAGGTCTGCAGTCCAGGGTTGGTGCAGGGGCTCTATATTGCCTTCAGAAATCCAGGCTCCTCCTGACTTTCCGCTCTGCCATCCTCTGATGATGGGTTTTGTCTCCATGCTCACAAGATGCCTGCTTCACCTTCTCACCAGCTTCATATTCTCATTCAAAGAAAGAAGTCTGTGAAGGGAGAAGGGCAAAGCTGAAGGCTTTCTTTCCAAGAGCTTTCAACATGCTGCACCCAGCAATCTCCCTTTACATCTGATTGGTTAGACCTGCATCAGATGGCCCCCCGTATTTGCAAGAAAGGCGGGGAAATGTAGAGTTTTGCTGAGCACAGTAGGAAGAAGGGGAGACTGGAGTTTGGGGATGCAATTAGCTCTATCTGCCATAAGGTCGTTTAAAATCAATGCCATTTTATTTTTAAGTAATATGTATTCATTTAATATTATTTGGAAAATAAAAGACAGAAAAATAATATTAAGTCAAACATATCACTGACTTCTTTTTTTAGTAATTTTTTGTATGCATATATGTTGATTAAAAAGAACAGGTCAGGGGCTGGCCTGGTGGCACAGCGGTTAGGTTCGCACATTCTGCTTCGGTGGCCCGGTTTCGCTGGTTCAGATCCTGGGTGTGGACATGGGACTACTTGGCAAGCCATGCTGTGGTAGGTGTCCCACATATAAAGTGGTGGAAGATGGGCACGGATGTTAGCTCAAGGCCAGTCTTCCTCAGCAAAAAGAGGAGGATTGGTGGCAGATGTTAGCTCAGGGCTAATCTTCCTCAAAAAAAAAAAAAAAAAAAAAGAACAGGTCATTTAATAAAGTAGCCAAAAAAATGAGTACACTTCATTTTGGTTTTGTTTTTATTTTTTTTATTGAGGTAACATTGGTTTATAACGTTATATAAATTTCAGGTGCACATCATTATATTTCTATTTCTGTGTAGATTACATCATTTTCACCACCCGAAGACTAATTACCATCATCACCACACACATGTGCTCAGTCTTCCTTCCCTCTTCCCCTCTGGTAATCGCCAATCTAGTTTCTGTATCTATGTGCTTGTTTGTTGTTGTTGTTATTTTTATCTTCTATCTATGAGTGAAAACATATAGTATTTGACTTTCTCTGTCTACTTATTTCGCTTACCATAATACCCTCAAGGTCCATCCATGGTGTTGTAAATGGCAAGATTTCATCTTTTTTTTATAGCTGAGGAGTATTCCATTGTGTATATATACCACGTCTTCTTTATCCATTCATCCTTTGATGGGCACTTGGTTTGTTTCCAAGTCTTGGCTGTTGTGAATAATGCCGCAATGAACATAGGGATTCATATATCTTTATGCATTCATGTTTTCATGTTCTTTGGATAAATACCCAGCAGTGGAAGAGCTGGATCATATGGTAATTCTATTCTCTGCCTGTTTGTCTCTCCCTTCTCCTTCTGGGACACCTATAATATGGATGGTAGTACACTTTATGTTGTCCCAGAGGTTCCTTAGCCTGTCTTTGTTCTTTTTAATTTGCCTTTCTTTTTTCTGTTCAGCTTGGGTAATTTCCTCTAGTCTTTTATTCAAATCACTAATCTGTTCATCTGTATCATTGACTCTGCTATTGAGTCCCTCTAGTGAATTTTTCATTTCCCTTATTAAATTCTTCAGTCCTGATTGGTTCTTTTTTATATTTTCCAGTCCTTTGTTGAAGTTCTCACTGTGTTCATCTATTCTTCTCCCAAGATCAGTGAGCATCCTTATCACTATTAGTTTGTACTCTTTATCAGGTAGATTGTTTATCTCTGTTTCATTTAGTTCTTTTACTAAGGATGTGTCCTGTTTCCTTATTTGGAACATATTCCTTTTTCTCCTCATTTTGCCTCTTTCTCTGTGCTTATATCTTTGTATTAGGTAGATCAGCTCCATTTCCTGATTTTGGAGAAGTGACCTTACATAAGAAATGCCTTATGAGGCCCTGCCTATGTAGACCCCCAAGTTGCCCAATGGCTTGTTGGTGGTTGAGGCCAGTCCCTAGGGCAGGCTGCATGCTGTGGCTGAACTGGATTAAGTCAGTGCTCTAATCGGTGTGGCACACCCCTGGGAAGAACTCCAATGGTGTCTGCCAGCATCTGTGTCAGCATGCCTGTACAAAGTCTCAATAATGGCTGCCACCATTGTCTCAGTCCCTGTGGGGGTGGTCCAGCCACCTCCTGCCTCCCTGAGATGAGTCCAGAGCCTTTCAAGTGAGTCTCTTTCACCAAA